ATATCATCCTTTCTCTACCTTCAATTTACTGGCTGCACTCTCTCCCCTTTCCCAATTTTGGCGCTATCATTGACGATGTTGCTAGAATTGCCTTTCGTGGCAACGATGCCTAGTCTCGAGACGTTGCTTTTGCATCAATGGTTCCAAGCGATAGTGGTGTGAAGGTGGCGGTGGTGGCTGGTTGATGTTGGTGGCGACATCAACGGAAGGTTCCAAGTGGTGTACTTTCTCAGGCGCATTACAAATTAGGTTTGGCTATTGTTCTTGTGTTGGTGTTGGTGGCTTGGAAGTGGCTGTTGGAATTTTGTTTGTTCAAAATCAAGTGAAAAAAATGGGGGCCTAACCATGCAACTGCATGGATTAAGCCCATGCGATCACATGAGGCCCTCTCGAGAATGGGAGGGCCGCTAAGGCTACAACCATGCGATCTCATGCTGATGGAATGTGACAATTGGGTAAGTTTTTTTTACCATTTTTCTATCAAAATTTGTGGCATTTCATCCTTGTTTTTGCACCATTTCGCGGGAGCTTGCCAAGGCATATAAATAGGTGATCCAAATGCAAAAAAAAAAAAAATATATATATATATATTGAATTCCATTGAGATCTATCCCTAAATTATTCTTCCAAAATTGTGAGAGAATTATCACATAATCATTCCATTTATTTTCACTTATTCATTGTGAAGATACACTTTTTTGGTATTTCTCATCAAGGCTTGTTTATTCCTACGAACTGTTTATCGAAAATCCTTAAAAACATTGGAAAAGAGGTAAATAACGTTTAAGGGCAATGAGATTAATTTTGTGTTCAAGCCTTTATTAATTATTTTATATTCTTCCCTTTATTGTGTTTCATTTTTCCTTCTCTATTGCCTTAATTTTCCAACAATCTCAAATGTTACTTGTTACTACGATGGAGACAGAATCTACGTTTGCTACCATCAAAATGATGAATCAAGATCTGGTGCGTTTAGACAAATTTGATGGCGCAAATTTCACAAGATGACAAGACAAATTTAAGTTTTTTTTTTTTTTAATGGCCTTAAAGATTTTCTACGTATTTAATCCAAAGTTGGAGCCTATTCCTGATGCAATTGACATGGATACCGAAGAAATTCGTGCAGAAAGGAAGAAATGGGAAGAGGAAGAATTGATATGCCATAGCCATATCGTAAATGCGTTGTCCTATCGTTTATATGATATCTACACTAACATTGCATCGGCAAAAGAAATCTGGTATGTGCTAGAAAGCAAATATAAAGTCGAGGAAGAATGTACTAAAAGTTCTTAATATCTAAATATTTTGATTTCAAATTCTTGGATAATGTATCTTTATTGCCTCAAGTACACGAGTTACAAATAATTGTAAACAAACTAAAAGCAGTAAAAATTGAACTTTTCGAAACTTTCCAAGTGGAAGCAATTATTGCTAAACTCTCCGATTCATGGAAAGGATACAGGAAGAAGATTCTCCACAACTTTGAAGACTTTTCTTTGGAAGATATACAAAAACTTCTCCGTATTGAGAAAGAATCAAGGGCAAGAGATGATTGAAAATTCTTATAATGACTCTTCGAAAGTCAATGTCGTGGACAACTCCAACAAATTTAAAAAGAAATGGAAACTTCTTGGTCCTAGAAAGGATCAAGGGAAGTTTAAAAAATGCCAAAGGACCTTGCTATGTGTGTGAAAAATCGAGATACTATGCTAGAGATTGCAGACATAGGAAACAACAAAAAAAAAAAGGACAAGTGAATTCTGTTGATGAAATTATCGCCACAGTGAGAGAAATTAATGCAATCCAAGGCAAAGTTCCGAGCTAATGGTACGATACATGCGCTACAATCCAAGTATGTTATAATAAGTCTTTTTTCAATACTTATTATAACATTGAAGACAATCAAGAAATACAAATGAAAAATGAATGAAGATCAAAAGTGATTGGCAAAGGAAATGTTGAACTCATTTTCACTTCGAGAAAGAAGATCATTTTGACGAATATCTTGCATATACCAGAAATAAATAGAAACTTAGCAAGTGATGTACTTTTGGAAAAATCTGGGATTAAATCTGTTTTTGAATTTAGAAAGTTTGTTCCAACCCATAATGGGCACTTTGTTGGAAATGGCTATTCCATCGAAGGAATGGTCAACCTATGTATTATTGACGATAACTCAAATAAAATTAAATCTTTTGTATATACTACTAATTCATTTAATTTATGGTATGGTAGATTAGCGCATTTAGGAGTTAACAATATGAAAAGAATAATTAAATATGGACGAATACAATGTGATATTGACAACTTAGAAAAATGTGAAATATGTGTTAAATCCAAGATGATTAAGAAGTCATTTCATAGTGTAATAAGATCAACGAAATTGCTTGAACTTGCTTATTCCAAAATACTTTAATTGAATGGAATATTAATGAGAGGCGATAGTAGATATTTTATTACTTTTATTGACAATTGTTCTAGGTATACCTATGTGTACTTATTAAAACATAAAGATGAGGTCTTTAGTGCCTTTAAAACTTATAAGATTGAAGTTGAGAATCAATGAGGAAGAAAGTTAAAAACTCTAAGAAGTGATAGAAGTGGGGAATACTTTTCTAATAGTTTAACATGTATTGTGAACAAAATGGAATAATACATCAAACTTCTGTACCTAGTACACCAAGAAAAATGGATTAGCAAAAAGAAAAAATAGAACATTTTTGAAGATGATAAATGCTATGTTGTAAAATTCTGAACTACCTTTTAATTTATGAGGTGAAGCCTTACTTAGTGGCCATATAACAAATAGGATTCCCATGAAAAAGAATAAAATTTCCCCTTGTGAGATATGGAAAGGTAGAAAACCAAATATCAATTATTTTAAAGTATGGGGGTGCCTTGCATATTGTAAGAATATGAATCATAAGAGAACCAAGTTAGGTCCTAGAGGTATCAAATGTACCTTTGTGGGATGTTCTCTTAATAGCAAAGCCTATAGATTATTAAATCTTGAATCAGATGTTATAATATAATCAAGAGATGTGAAATTCTTCAAGAATATAATGATAGCTAGAAAATCTAAAAATAATAATAAAGATATTCCAACCTTTAGAAGCTCACCAGAAGAGACATCCATAAAAGATGTTGAAATTGAACCCGAAGAAGTAAAAGAACTAGAAAAGAAAATAACTTAGGATAAGATGAAATAGATTCCTAACTTAGTCCTTTTTACTTAGTAGAGGAAGATAGGAAGAATGTTGTAAGAACTATTCTTTTTGTTTTTCAAGTGAAAAGTGACCCTAAAACTCATAAGGAAGTGATGCAATCTAGAGATTGTATGTTCTGAAAAGAAGCTATAAACGATGAAATTGATTTTATTATTTCAAACAACACTTGGGAAATAGTTGACCTACCACGAGGTTCTAAAGCTATTGGTTGCAAGTAGGTATTTAGGAAAAAATATAATTTCAATGGATCGCTTAATACTTAGAAGGTTAGACTGGTAGTTAAAGGATATCGTCAAAGGGAAGAAATTGATTACTTTAACACATATACACCTGTGGCTAGGATAACCTCGATTAGAATTTTATTTGCATTAGCATCCATTTATGACCTATATGTTCATCAAATGGACGTCATGACTATGTTCTTAAATGGAGATCTCGAAGAGAAGGTCTATATGAAGCAACCAAAAGAGTTTGTTCTACTAAAAAATGAACATAAGGTGTGCAAATTAATTAAATTTTTACATGGATTAAAGCAAGCTCCCAAAAAGTGGCATGAGAAATTTGACTCTAAAATAATGTCAAATGGATTTAATCACAATTCGGTAGATAAATGCATCTACACGAAAGTGAATAATAATATAATCACATTAGCGTGTACATATGTTGATGATATGCTGATAAGTAACACTAATGTAGACAGGATCAAAGAAATAAAAGGACTTCTATCCTCTACTTTTAAAATGAAGGATTTGGGAGAAGTGGACACTATCCTTGACATCAGAGTTAAAAAGTATAGTGGGGGTTTTACATTAAGAGAATCACACTATGTTGAGAATATGATTAATAAATTCAAACATTTGGACATTAAAGAAGCAAATCATTTACCAAACATTTTGGCTGAATGTTTGATTTTCTTTACTTCTATAAACCCCATGTGTTGGTAGAGCATGATTATTCGAAATCTCCCTAAAGTTGTACTTCAATCGTAAGCCTCGTAAATAATGAAAGACCAAATTCTGTAATTGCAGTTGGTATTTTTGTGAAAGCATATACGATTGAGTTTGATGGAAGAATTTGCTATTCACTCTTTTGTAGCTACTTATCACTCGTTTGTAGTCATTTTGGTAAAAGCATATATGTAGCTGCGTCATTTTTCACAAGTTGGCAATAGAGACTGTACCATGTATTCATAAAAAATTGCTATTCTCTTATGAAGTGGTAGAACCATAGAAGTCATCTAGTCTATTGATTGCTGGAAACCTTGAAGTGAGTGTATATATATTGTGATAATTTATAGTGATGGAGGTGCATGATATGGGATGAAGATAGACAAGGGGTTGGCTGGTTTTCTTTTTCCTGGTTCTATAGTGCTAGCCACACAAGAAATAATGTAGAATTGTTGAGGGAAATAATGTTGCGAAGGCATTGAATCGTATGATTAAGTGGGCAGATTTTATCAGAAAGCTTTTCGTTTGATTAGTTTATATATGTAGTTCACCTGTTTTGAAATTTTCTATGTTAGTATGAACTTTTAATGTCACCATGCACCAACTATGAAAATGCAAAAGCAAAAAGAGTAAGCAAAATGTCAATGTAATGCCTCTTTTTGTTGGGTAGCAAGTACATAACATTACCGCTATGTTTAGTGATCAATAAAGAAGATGGCCGTAAGTTTACGAAGCTAAGTACAAATAGATAATCTAAAAGGTAATATACAAGAAAAATGACGTTTGAAATAAGAGTTGAAATATAGCATTTAGTAAATTAACGTAATTACAAACATAGTTTACATGCCTTCGCTCAAAATAGTCCGACCTCATACAAAAAATTATGTAATAACTACTACTTCCACAATTATGATAGATTCCATAATTCCTATCGCCCATTCAATGACACAAGAAAATGACAGAGTATCAACTCAAATAGAAAACATTGTTGTTCGAACGATAATAACACAAAGCAAATCATTTGCCAAACATTTTATATCATAATGTCAATACATTTAGTCTGTGGAAAAATATTATTATACCAATAAAAAATTCATACTAAAGACCTGTACATAGCAAGTATATCAAAATGAAATAAATCAATGTTTTGAGCTTCGGAAGTTTAGATGCCAAGGCCCATTGACTTCAGTATGTTCAATAGAGTAATGTTCTGAATGCAATTTGTTGGCAACCAATACTATGCATCAATAAGAAATTTATAAGAATTCCAACCAAGATTTCTAATGATCCTATTGGTACACTAGCAAATTTTAACAGAGAGGCAGGTTCCAAACTTAAGCCAACGTCATCAAATACCAATTTGAACCAAATACAATGTTTCACCAAATATCCCATATCAATGCTAGCAAATCTTACTTCATTAAAGACCAAACTCCAGTAATTCGATTCACCTCAACAGGGCAAAAAAAATAAATAAATAAATAAAATTTGAGACGTGGAAGATAATGAAAAAACTAAACATGATAATGAAATTTCTAATTGGGCATGACAGCTATTACATAGATAAATGATAATGAAGCAAAAATCCAAACTCGTGTGCAAAGAAATTTGACTACTACCAATTCAAATGTGGTCTTCAACGTCTAATATATCAAAGATAAAAATAGCATAGCTCCAGTAAAATCTTCTATTCAAAAAATAATAATAATAAAGAAAAAATCACAGGTATATGCATTTATACGCTTACCAGATGGGACTAAGATTAGGTGGAACAAGATTTGTGGACTTCGTAAAGATGAGCACTGACTGCGCTTGAGCTCGCTTGCGGCCAGAGAACTTCAAGCATGTGCTAGCCAGAGCTTGCTTTCTCCCTTCTGAGACTCGAAATGGGTGGAGATGTAAATTAGAAAATTTGGGAAAAATGGGTGGAGATGGAGATTTCAAGTGAGCCAGAGGAAATTTTCTCCCTTTCATGAGTGTGCTTTGGGAAAAGTGGGTGGAGAGAGAAAGCAGCATTTATTTTATTAATTTCCCTCCTTAATTTGCTAGTGTTAATTTTCCTCTATTTGCACCTGGTGGCCTTATACATTTTTTTAATGAATGAATTAAAAAATGTGTAGTCGCCAAAATTTCAAATCCTTGTTAGCATTCGATAAATACCCCTATCCGCCTAGCTTAATTGTTTGACATATGTATCAGTAATGGATTGTCAATAAAAAAAATAGTGGAAATTACAAAATTTGCTACTTTAAAAATTCACAATCCTAAAATAAGATGGGTAGATTAATCTTTCAAAAATCGGAGGTTTTATTTTAATTAATACTTTTTAAAATAAATATTTTCACTAAATATATATATTCCATCACACACAAACCCTAATTAATTCTTAATATTATCTCTCTCTGTATTCCCTGAAAAAATGTAGCAGTGGCGGATCTGCGTGGTGATGGGAAAGATGTGGTGTGGTGGTTGCGTGGTGGTAGCGGATATGCGCGATGTGGAGTGCGTGTGGTGTGGGAAGATAATGTTTGTTGGCTGGATGTGGTGTGGTGGTGGCAAATCTACTCCGTAGAAATCTGTGTGGTGGTGGTGGTGGTGGATCTGCGTTGTAGTGGGGAAGATGTGGTGTGATTGTTGCGTGATGGAGGTGGATCTGCACGGTGTGGCGGTGGTGTGGGGGTGTTGCCGTAGGGTGATGGTGTGGTGGTGTAGCGGTGTGTGGCAATGATGTGTTGATTTTGTTTGAGACAGTGTTGTTGCTGTAGGGTGATGGTGGTGGTGGTATCGATGGTGACGATGGCGTTGGTGATGTTGGAGACAATAGTTGTTTGGTGATAATCACATATTAATTGGTTGATTGTGACCATTAAATTGGTTAATTTGAGACCAATGTGACCAATAAGAAAGATAAATTGTGACAAAAATAATGTGTGATCTAAAAAATAATAATTTGTGACTATTTAATAAGTTATGACCTATAATATTTGTGATTTGTGACGTATAAATTTTTAATCTGGGATCGACGAACAAATTTGTGACCTATAAAAGTTTTGAATTATGATCGTAAAATAATTTGTGACATTCAAAATTTTGATTTGTGATTGAAAAAATAATATGTGACTAATTAAATTGTGAATCTATAACCAAATTATATAGATTCGTGACCTTATATATTTAATTAATAAAAAATATATATAATTAATTAAATTATAAATAAAATTTAATGAATATCTGATTTTTGAAACTTGAAACTTGTTTTCTTACTTTGGAAATGAGTAATAGTTGTCCTCTTAATTATGAAATTTTCCCTTAAAAATGTACATTGACATATATCCATGGATTGGGCCTAATATTTTTCAAAAACAAGAGGCCCATCATACCAAACAAAAGAGCTAAGTAAAAAAAATAAAAAATAAAAATAAAAAAATAAAAAAATTCCTCAATTCAGTCATGTTCCTCCTTGGCTTCTTTAACTACAAGACCGCACCAGACTATTGAAAATTCCAATGAAGCCAGCACACGCAGCTGCATCCCTCATAGGGTGCTGGCACCATCACTGCGTGCAAATATATTCCCTTCATTTTTTTCCTCTGTGAGTTCAAAAATAACAAAACCGCAAGTTTTGTTTGCTACTTTCTCTCACCGAAATCAAAAATTTTGAAACTTGAACAATTTTCAAAACATAACAGGAACAAATTTGTCTTAAAAAAGACATCAAAACAAAAAGTCATTTGGAACTAAAGTTTTGTGCGTTCAATTTACATGTGCAACTAGGTAGACAACATAAATAAGGTACAGACTTGCTTAGAAACAAACTTAATAAAATACATGAAGAGAACACAACAGAGAATGTAGAATGCATTCGGACAGATGATTGCAGACGGCGATACATGAAAAAAAGGGTTTATCATGCCCCCCAACAATTTGTTGATTAAACTTAAATAATTATAGTTTCATTTTTTTTTCAAGGATTTTATATCAATTTATAGATAATATGAATTTTATAATCAAACATTCGTAAAAAAAAAAAAAAAAAAGAAAGAAAGTCGGGGACTTATAATAAGTGTGTGATATTTCTATGGCTGTATAAAATCGGATTTTTCTTTTACACGGCCCAGCTATTGTGAGGTATAGATTAAATTTTCCTTAATTTCCAGACCATCTCTTGGATGATTTCTACTCACATTTGTGGCTCAATCTTAAAATTAATACGCATCTTTTTTATACCCCAAAATTTTTAAAAGTACGAACTTTTCGCATTACCTATCAACTACTCAACATATGTCTTCCACAACACCTCTACACTTGCCCAATATTTAAGTTAATATTCTATTGACATTAACTCTTAAACGCGTATATAAAGCAATTCCTATTCCACAAAATCATTATCAAATCTCGTATGCTCATTTGAAATCATATTGGATGGAATCCGTTCATAAGGACCCGAGTCTAATAAATTATGAAAGATTGAGGATATTATTGTCAAGATTTAGAGGTTAATAACCTGTCTATACACACTGCAAAAGTATGGTACATACACTGCAACTTTCTCACTGTCTAAAGTAATCCCAAGGAGAAAATAGCCAAGAGTATAATTTGTTTTTGATTTACAAATACAGAAATATTCAAGTAAAAGTCACACACTTTCCCTTTTCTCCATAGACTTTTTTAACCAGCCGATTCTTTACCATTTGATCCTTGAACTGCTCGAACAGGAACCATGCTCTTGCGCCATTTCCAATAATTTGCCCTCATCGGATCGACAACTTGCAAAACTGAACAAACTCTGTCGGTTAACCCTGAGTCGGAGACACCAGAGTCCAGACATAGAGTATCAATCGCATTTTCCAACGTTTTGCTTGGTTCATAACCATGGCAGAGAAGATCCAAGACCATGTTGAGAGCATGAACACAATCTCTTTTATTCAACAAAACATCCAAACAAACAGATGCAATCCGGGGATCGTTAACCAGAGATTGCATGTCATCTTTGAAAAGGCCTCTAAGGTATCTCCAAGGACTTTCATTCTCGGGTTTGGCTAAAATGGCGTTTACAGCATAAGCTACTTCCGAATCCCTCATGGCCTCCAACCCTCCCAGGACAGGAGATCTTGTTACAACAAAGTATCTCTACGAACAGATAATTTGCAAAATAAGGGGGAAATGAAGTATTTTATAATATAAGATTTTTGATAAAATGGAAATTGAGAATATAGATAATTCAAGAAACCGATTCAGAAATTTGTGACATCATAGTCTTGCCTGGAATCATAATCAACAAAGCATATCATACACAGTCATATACAGCAAGAGCAATTTCAAGATGGTGAACCATAATTAGTTAATACACAACACCATAGATCATCACAGAGTTATGTTTCATCGATATATGGATAAATCCATTAAGAAATGAATACTATTGACCTGGTTCAAGATCTATGAACAAAAGAAATTCTTAACTTATCCATTTCAAAAAGCCGTTGGCATATATAATTATTAAAAAACCATACCATTTGATTAGTTCCATTCAGTTCTCGAGTTCCGTAATTGTTATTTATTTATTTTTTATTATTATTATTATTATTATTATTATTATTATTATTATTTTTTTTTTTTACAACAACGCTACATTAATTCAACTATGACATGTTCAATCTTAGCTCTTAGAAAATAACGTTGTCCACTCTCGTGATATCTTTTGAGCTTATCTATGTTGAGTTCTTTATAGATTTGATTGTTAAAATTACAAAAATAAAAAGATAGCAAGCTCACAATAATGAAGAGAAACGCAGCCAAGCTTCCAATTTGATTTCTCTAGAATGGCAGAAAAGATAGAATAAGAGATTTGGTAAAACTTAGGTCAATTTGATTAAGTTGGACTTGATTGAAAATTAGAAATAAAAAAAAATCATATTTTAGGTTTAAGCTAATTAGTTAGCAAATTTATTTAAAAAAATAAAATAATTTGACTTATGTAAGATTAAAAAAATTTGGGAGATTCAGCTCTTCGTCTAGAACCGAGAACTAAACCAAACTCGCTGGTTTTGGATTCATATACCCGTTCGGGTATTTAGCTTAAGAAGAATAGCTCAATTCGATTCAGTTCGTTCGTATCCGGTTCAATCTAATTCGATTCGAAAGTTTTGTCCAACCCTAATATGCGTAAGGAAATGCCAATGGTAAAAGTTATAGAAAAATCAAAGGATAATATAAAACAGAGGCTGTTCTTAAGACTGGTTGACACTTGACAGCACCTAACAACAGTAAGTCACAGATATCTTGGCTCTATTGGTTATTTTGTAATTTGAAAGGACTAATACACATTAAGGTTCCAAGAAAAATGAAGAAGACAAGAAGAATGAAAAAAATAAAATAAAAATAAAAGAAGAAGAAGAAACACGCACCAAACACCTAAAAGCTTCAAAAGCTTTGAAAGTTCTTTTAGAACTGAGCTACTACTAGAGACTATAAATTAAAATTCAAAGAAGGGTCCAGGTTTTGAAATTACTGGCCAATTTTACATGTTTGTGTGTCTCCCATTATGAAAATATGTAGTCTACGAAATGTTGAATTCAGAAGTATTCTTTTTGGCATGTTGTGAATGGAAATGAACGAGATTATTTGAATCTTTCAATGAAGTGACGAAAGTGGCAAAAAAGGATTCATGCAGCCAGCCCAAATTTATTGGAGACTTGTTCCTTCTCTTGTTCACCTCCAATTTTGGGTTGAAATGGCATGGAGATGTAAATAATAGTGTAATATTATTCAAATAACATAGATAAAAAATAGTGACTTTCACGCAGCTTTTGAAGCTTTATTAGGATTCTGTGATAACCTTGCTTGGGCAGTTGTTTTAAATAGCCTTACATTATAAAGGTGCGATACTTCAAAGTTAAGATGGATGGCCAATCCTAACTTTCCCATAAAAAATAGGGAAAATTGGAGCAGCAGTCCCTAATCTTTTCAATTTTTGCAGACTTTACCATAACCTTTAATTTGTGCCAACGAACATCCCTAACCTTTCAAAAATATGCAGTTGGGGTCCAAACAGATGAAAATAATCCATTTGACCGTTAATTGACCAAAAAAGTTGATTTTGACCAAATTTGATAAAGGCAAAATGGTAAATTAGTTAATCTATATTATAAAATACCAAACAAATTTAGAAAAAATAAAATAAAAAACAAAAATAACCTCATCTTACACTCCTCGCCCCATCCACCCCCAAAATAAAAACTGCCACTCTTTTTCCCCAGGAAGACCTACCAGAAACAGTCACCACCGCCACCTTATACCCACACTACCACCACCGTCACCACAACTTCCCTCACCACCACCTACTACCAGTTCCGACAACCTCTACAACCACCATACTCGAAAATCAAACCCACAGTCGAAGATCACACCATACTTGAAAATCAAACCCACAGTTGAACAAACCACCGTCGTCACCTGCACGATGCTGCACCTAAATGGATACCACCACCACCATCTCAAACCGCCAACAACCTCTATAATGAAAACCTACAACCGAGAGTGAAATGGATGTGAAATTGTCTACAATTTCTAAACTCTCTACAATTTCGAAACAAAGCAAAAACTCACTGTTCATCGTCGATTTTAAAATAGACAAACCCCAAAACCAACACCAAAGATCTAAAAATCGGATCTCCACCAAACGACGGCATCACTATTGATTGTCAACTCCCCACACAACCACAATCGAATCTCATAAAATGGAAAAATGAAAATTAAAACTATTATTATAATTCAAAGATTTATGAAAGTAAAATTTGATTTGAGTGGTGGCACCGGCCTTTAAGCGACGAAGCCAGCATTATGATGTGGTTGTGGTGGTCGCCCTTTGGATGGTGGTTTTCGATCTCCAATGCGGGTGGGAGTGGGGAAGAAGGGGAAGGTAGATGAACCGGCTTCTGGGTTTCATGAGAGTGGGGGTGGGGGTGGGATGGGGCAGGTTTCTTTTTTCATTTTCCTTTTTTAATTATTTTATGTTAAATTTATGGAGTTACCATTTTGCCCTTACGAAATTTAGTCAAAATTAATTTTTTTGGTCAACTAACGGTTAAATGGATGGTTTCCATCCGTTTGAACCACAGCTACATATTTCCAAAAGGTTAGGGACGTTCGTTAGTACAAATTGAAGGTTAGGGTGAAGTCGGCAAAAATTGAAATATTAAGGACAGTTGTTGCAATTTTCCCTAAAAAATATATATTTACAACACATTATGCACTCATGGTGACACCTGACATTGAATTGGTAGTTAAGATTTAGGTCATAGTAAATCTACTGATGGTACCTGATTCCAAGCAGAGTTATTAAAAATGTCATCTTGAAGGAGTTTATAACAGTATGCAAGTTCATCTTCCCATCCTCCAAGTGCCTGAAGAACCCACTGCATAAAGAAATGTCATCTAAAACTCTTTACTGAATAAACATATCTGCTCAGATACAGAAAAAAATAGGGAAGAATCAATATCTTATGCTAGATTTAGGGGAAATTTCATAAACTGAACAAAATTGAAAACGGTTTTCTCCCCTAAAAAGAAGGTGGTGAACTTCAGTCTACCTGTCTATGGGACCAGGCATGATAGTTCTTTGCATCCTCGGAGAAAATTTTCTCAGTGAATTCAAGTTCCTTGCTTGTAGCATTAGTTCCAAGCTTCTCAGCAACCCACCGTCTATGATGCCTAAATTCATATTGATTAAATTTTCATAGTTGCCTGATTGTGAACTCTAAAATAAAGAAACAAAAAAAAAAAATTTTTGATAGGTAATCAGATAATTTTATTACTTAAAAGAGAATACATGGGGGGTGTACAATCACTTTAAGCCATTAAGGAACAACATGAAATTAGACAACCCATCTATAGGATTTCTAGCCACAGCATTAAACCAAGAATACAAGGTAAAGTAAAAATTTTCTCTTATCTGCTCTCTTGTCTTTGTTTGGTCTTCGAAATAACGGTTGTTCCTTTCTCTTCACACGTGCCATACAATGCAACTCGGGATAAGGTGCCTTGATATCCTTATCACGAAGTTTTCTCCGTCATGTCCGTATCACGTCCTCTATACAGCGAGACATCACCCAATCCATAGATTGAGAACTAAGTATACTGTTCCAAATCCAACGTACACCATCACAATGAATGAACAAATGATCGATCGTCTCCTCATTCTTCTTGCACATATAATACCACTCGGTCGCGTAAAAGCCTTTACGTCGGAGATTATCCACTGTTGAGACCTGTCCCCTCACAACTGTCCACAATAAGAATGCCACCCGAGAAGGCAATTTACACTGCCACACCAACTTCTAAGGGAATGAATTATTCACACATCCCATGAGGGAATCAAAGTACAAGCGAACTGAAAAAATGTCATCCTGTGTTGTCCTCCACTTGATGCAATCTCTCTCACCAACCCGAATTTGTGCCTCATGTAAAAAGGTCATAAACAGCGAATAATCTTCCAATTCTCAATCTTGTAGATCCCTCCCAAAAGTAATATTCCAGCTATAGCTCCCATTATGAATGTCTAAGAGATCACTCATCATAGCAGTGGACACTGAGGCAATGCGATGTAAGGAAGGGAATCTCTCCTTCAGCGGTTGATCCCCGCACCAACAATCATCCCAAAATTTAATCTCATTACCATTTCCGACCACAAACTTCAGTTTGTCCAAAAAAAAGCACTCCATCCCCGTCGGATATACCTCCACAAACTCACCCTATAAGAACCACGATCCTCAAATGTACACCATCCCCCCTCCGCCACACCATACTTCGCCCCAATTATTCTCTTCAGAAGCTTTCCCTCTCCACTCCAAATCGCCACAACCACTTGCCTAATAAGGCCTTATTGAACAACACAAGGCTCCTCACCCCAAGACCCCCCATCCTCATCGGCAAACAAACAACTCCCCAATTGACCAAATGGAGTCTCCTCTCCTCCCCCAACTTTGCCCACAGAAATTCTCTTTGAAATCTCTCTAATCTCTTTGCCACTGCAATCGGAATGGGGAACAATGACAAAAAGTAAGTAGGGAGATTGGAGCGAGTGGATTTAATGAGAGTAAGTCTATCTCCTTTAGAAAGGTACATACACTTCCACCCTACTAACCTTCTCTTCATCCTTTCCACAATACCATTCCAGATATGGGTACTTCTAAATCGTGCCCCTAACGGGAGCCCTAGATATGACATCGGCAGCTGCGCAATCTTACAACCCAATATATCAGCCAGTTCCTCCATATTATCGACCTCCTCAACTGGAATAGCCTCAAGCTTCCCCAAATTGATTTTCAAACCAGACACCGCTTCAAAACATAGGAGCAAACGGCGCAAGTTCCTAAATTGTTCAACATCTGCATCGCATAAGATCGTGTTATCTGCAAATAACAGATCGGACACCTGCAATTGGTCAACCATAAAACCCCTTATCAAATCCGCTCTCATGGCTCTTTCAATCATTCTACTGAAAGCCTTCATCACAATGACAAATAACAATGGATCCCTTTGTCTCAAGCCTCTATTGCTCCGGAAATAACCCTCAGGTGTTCGTTGACCAAAACTGAGAATGAAACAGTAGAAATACAGAATTGAATCCATTTACACCATTTATCCCCAAAACCACAGCGCCTGAGCATATACAACAAGAATCCCCAATTTACATGAACGTAAGCCTTCTGAATATCTAGCTTACAAAGCATCCCTGGGGCCCTTAGACGCATTCTTGAATCTATGCATTCATTCGCTATAAGCACAGAGTCCAAAATCTGACGCCCTTTTACAAATGCATTCTGAAATTTGGACACTACTTTTCCGAGCACCTCCTTTAATCTGTTTGCCAGGACTTTCGAAATAATCTTATACACCCCGCTGACAAGGCTAATGGGGCGAAACTCCTTAATATCAGTCGCTCCCGATTTGTTAGGGCTGAGCACAATAAATGTGGCATTAGAACTTCTCTGAAATCTGCCACGTTCAAAAAAATAAGATAAAGTATTCACAATATCCAGTCGAACCACATCCCAGCACGCCTTGCAGAATGAGAACGAGAAACCATCCGGTCCCGGAGCCTTATCATCGTTCATGCTGAATACTACCTCCTTAATTTCATCCTCCCCAAATGATCTCTCCATCCATCGGGCATCATCCTCAGTGATTGTAGAAAAGTGCAATTCCTCCAATTTTGACCTCCATTCAAATTGCTCCCGATAGAGGTTCTGATAAAAATTCACCAGTTGGCTTCCAATTTCCTATGGTTCTTCATAAGTAACCTCGTCCACCTCCAAAACTGTGATGGAGTTTTCCTATTAGAATTGGCGACCCTGTGGAAAAACTTAGTGCATTTATCCCCCTCTTTCAACCAAGTAACTCTAGATTTCTGTCGCCAATTAATCTCCATCTCCACCAACCTCTCCATCTCTTCCTTTAATACTCTATGGCTCTTCTTCTCCTCCCCAGCTAACCCTTGACTCTCCTCCCGCCTATCCAACTCCTTTATCTCTGACAGACACTGATTTTTACTGCAATTAACATTGCCCACAACTTCCTCATTCCATTTCTTTAAGTCCCCTTTCAACGCCTTTAGCTTCTGATCCAATACAAAACAGGGAGGCCCACTGACTTCATAGGAAGTCCACCACGTCTGTACTCGCTCCCTAAAACCTTCTACTTTCAACCACATCTTCT